TCCTCCACTAGCAAATACTGATCAGTATAAATTACCTCTCAAATTTTTCTGTTGCAGACATTTAGAGAAGCCTAGATTTACTTATCTCATAGCCTGAAATTGTCTATGTAAAGGCTGAGCAGAAAGAAAAAGGAATGAAAGCTTTTACTTTTGCCTTACTAGAACAATTAAAATGTTCATTTATAAAGCCTCTATCTCCACAAAGGGATGGTAGAGAGTGTACAATCCATGGTTCCAGTTGAAATGGCTGGGGAGATGGTTAATTCCTCAGTTGTGTCTGTGTGAGGATGTGACATTCTCATGTGCTCAAGTAACTCTGTAAAACGCCAGAAGTTGGTTCTGAGACACAGAATCACAGAATTGTCAGAGTTGGAAGAGACCTCTAGAGATCATCTAGTTCAACTTCACTGCTAAAGCAGGATCCCCTAGAGCACACTACTCAGGGCTGCATCCAGGCGGGCCCTGAATATCTCTACAGAAGGGAACTCCACAGTCTCCCTGGGCAGCCTGTTCCAGTGCTCTGTCACCCCCACCATAAAGAAGTTTTTCCTCATACTTAAATGGAGCTTCTCATGTTCCAGCTTGTCCCCATTGCCCCTTGTTCTGTCCCTGGGAACTACCAAAAAAGAGTCTGGCTCCATCCTCCTTGCACCCACCCTTTAGATACTTACAGGCATTTAATAAGGTCTCCCCTCAGCCTTCTCTTCTCCAGGCTAAAGAGTCCCAGCTCTCTCAGCCTTTCCTCATAAGGCATATGCTTCAATGCAGAATAACAATTCTAAAGAAAACAAATTACTGATTTATGCTCCACAGCATTTCAGCTAGGCGTTGGGGAGCTTAAATCTAAGCCTATTTAGATAGTTGATCCTAGAATGTAACTGATACAGTGCCTTGGAAGTGAAAGCCAGCACTTCCCTCTGCCAGACTGCTGCATTCACAAACACTCGGAAACTCCTGTTTTTAACTTAGCAGAAGCTTCCAACATCACTTCAGTTTGAGCTCCTTCTCCTCTCTTCCCTATCACAATAATTGCTGGTGAAAAACTGAATTGCTGCTTTTGTTGAAATGTAAGAGAAAGCCATCCACAGGGCAACCCATCCCTTCCCAAACCAAGTGCTTTGCCACTTCCTCAGTTTTTGTCCTGGGAAATGGCTGGCTGGAATGTGTGGCAGTCTTGCTCCAGATCCTACCTCCCCCTCCAGCAGAGCCACAGCAACTCCCACTTCAGATGCTACATCAGAGAAATGCCTTTAAAAAGAAGCTCTTTCAGCTTGTGCACTGCTGAAAGGCTGCAGATGACTCTTCAAAAGCTTGGACACTCCATTCACATTAACTTTAGTAGGAATTGATGTCCAAATCCACCGCTACAAGTCTGAAGCACTCCAGCCCACATTCCTTGCTTGCAACAGAGGGAAAGTATATTCCCTTTTCACTCAGACTGGATGTTAGGAAACAAACTGCCATCCCAAAGCACAATGAATTCTCTGCAGTGATTGTGCCAGAAGAGATACAATGAACACCTACTACTACATTAAAGCAGAAGTAACAAGGAGGGAGTAGAAGTGTGTTGGGTTCTCTGCAGAGTTGAACAGTGTGTGTGGTTTTATTCAGCATAGCAGAAAAATGAATGAGTTCAAGACAGGCAGCATAAATCATAAAGCTGGAAAATTGCCATGCAAAAAGAATGAAAAAGCTTCAAACAACTTCAAACAATGAGAAAAGCAAGATGAAATAAAAATAATTGTACAGAAGATGAAGAAACTTACATTTATCATCTTGTAACAATAGTAAAGAGACAGGTGAAATGCAATAAAACAATAACTGATTAAAGGAAGCAAATGCTGTTTTTGCATCAGGCACCACTGGAACTCATTCCTGCAAGGGTCTACATCAACAGTCAGAGGACCTTTTTGCCTTGTTTGTTTTTAAATCTTTCTGTTTATATAGCTAACAAGAACATTGAATTGCAGGGCCAGACAGCATGCTGGGCTTATTTTCTGGCCTGTCCCTTTCTGATGGATCATGCCAGGAGTATTATTAATGCTTGCTAATAAGTAAAAGGCATGTCTGAGTAATTCTCTATTTTCTTCCAACAACTGAGTGGCTAAGCACATCTTTTCATGGTGGGCTATTTCCATATAGGTTACATTGTACAAGTCTACCACTACTTTGAGAAAAAGACAATTCTCCACTAACAGTTCTGATACTCATTAAAAATTCCCCTAAGTGCTAGCAAGCAGAGCTACTGATTGTGAGGTTGTGGAGCCACTGATTTAGAAAAAGACTGAGTCCTTGTTTCCTCCTAGACTAATGGTCTGGTCATGGACAGGTCATTCAGGCCAGGTCTGGATTAAGATTATTTTGCTTGGTAAAATTACACTAAAATATCATAGCAGCTGAGCCTATTGTGGATACTCTTTGCATAGGCATAATAGGGTTTCTGCCAGGAAATACATAACACAGTTGTTAAAGTTTGTACTTAAAACAATATATGAGTTTCACATACAATGTCAGTCGCAAAATTTTTTCCCCCTTCTGTTTACACTGCTTGTTCCAACACTGTATTTCATAGAAGAAACAAAAATTCAGCTCTTCTCCCATGCCTTAGAAACAGTATGATGGCATTAAACCATAACCAGCTGCAGGTACCACTAAAACTGGAATGCAGCCCAAGGCAGCTGAGAATTACAGGAGTAAAAGGATGACAGCAGCTGTCCCTGAGAGGACAGCAACAGGGAATCAAAGGCACGTGCTGAGCACTGGGTACCTGACACAGACATCTTGGTGCTGTGGTGGGGAGCATGGGGGTCCTGCATGTCACTCATATTCCTTTGCCTGGTATTACTTTGTTTTGGTTTGCTAATAGCCAGGCTCTTGAAACAGTGTTGCACTATGTCTAGGGCCTCTGCCTTCCCCCATACAAAGTCGTTTCGAAAAAAACCAAGCCAATATGTATCAGGAATCAGCAATTTAGTCCATCGTGGTGGGGGAGTAGTGCAGGTTACTTGATTTCCCTGTGTTTACTCCACTTTCCAGTGTTTACACAACGACTGTAAGTGAACACCCAAACACATGATCTTGGTTGTGTGGGACAAAGTACTGTGAACTGTGCAGTACTGGCTTTAGATGGCAGCTCAGTGCTGAAATGCCTAAAGGCTACAGAGCCATTTAATTGTTTGGGAGCCCCAAGGATGTTTACACAGTCTATTGTGTTATTTAGCACATGAAAAGGCAACTCTTAGGCAAAAATGTAAGAAGCTGACAAATGGCTTCCTATCAATGATATACATGGGTCTAGATAAAGTCCTTTATACATCTCATGATAAAATGCCCCTAGTTTTGTGGGCCACAATGTGTATGATTTGGCCTTGTCAACCAAAGTCTGTACCAGTTACAGGCACGTTATTCCCTCTGTGCATTGGATTTTATTATAAGGAAACAGAGCTGTTATCCACTGCTGTGAGACCTTTCCTAGATAATTACCTTGATCTACACTTGAAGCACCAAGGAATGTCTTAACAGCTAAACAATAATTTGACAAAATCTCATTATCAACAGGACTCTGGAGAATATAAAATGTCCTAAAAATTAGAGGACGCAGTTTTCACTCTATAAACACAAAGATCCATCGTATAAGATGGGTTAATTAATCCAGTTTTTGACAGCTTCATGTTTAGCTTCTCATTTTTGGAACGGCTTTTCCCTAAACTTGTCAGTTTCAGTGCATATTGGAAACTAAAATTTCAAAGTGATGTCTTTGGTAGAATATAGGCTGTCAGTGAAACCAATGACACTGTGGATCAATAAGAACACCCCAGAAAGCAGATGCAGGGGAAGTTAGAATGCATAGCCAGCAGTATAGCTGCTGAGCCTTGTACTCAGAGATCAGGCTTTGGAATTGATTTATCTGTGTCAATGACTATTGGTTACAAAAGAAAGTGGTGAATAGGTGACTTGTCCTGCAGTCTGCATTATTCCTGGTAACAGATCATACATAATTTACTGTGCATCTTGCTTGAAATGCATTCAAGTATCTCGAAAGAGTGAGGGCTTCTGGTCAGGTCCTACTTCCAGCAATGCCTTTGAAACACCTACATATGATGGATATCACACAATCATAAAGTGGTTTGAGTTGGAAGGGACCTTAAAAATCATCTAGTCCCACCTCCCCTGCTTGGGCAGGAAGACCTCCCTCTAGATCAGGTTGTTCACAGCCCATCCAACCTGCCCTTGAACACTTCCAGGGATGGGGCTTCCACAACTTCCCTGGGCAACCTGTTCCAATGTTACACCACCCTCACACTAAAGAATTTCTTCCTAACATCTAACTTAAATCCCCCCTCTTCCAGTTTTAGCCCATTACCCCTTGTCCTGTCACTACATGGGCAATGGCAATTTCCAGAACAAGTCCCTGGATGAACTATCTTGAAGGAAAAAACAAACAAACAATGCCTGTAAAAGTATTTACTCTCCTAAACCTCCGATGGTCACTCTGTTAGCTTTAACTTTTCTATAAACCTCTCTTTCAAGCTACTATTTCTCCTTAAGCAGACAACACGATGCCTGTTTCAGCAAGGGAGGTAGGAGCTAGGATGACTAAGCAATCTCTGATAACAAGTTCTTAGTTTTACAGACTGAGATAAACTGCTTGGACAAAGGAAATATTCATGGTTGCAGTCTGATAAGAGCAAGTAGTCAACCATGTGTATGCCAGATAGCCTTCTGTGGGGGAAGCAGTAAAGCAGGCAAGAATATGCGTGTTACAATACCTGAATAAAACTCATGATAATATTTGAGTTGAGGGAACACCATCATTCATTCCTCCCCCATGCTTACAAATAAATCACAGAAAGCAAAGGAAAAAAACCTAAACTTGTATGAATAATGACACAAAACTATTAAATAGCTGTAGAAGTGCTCATCAGAAAAACAACAGCCACACAGGACTGTGTTCCAGAAACTTGCGATTTTAGCAAACAGCAAGACCACGGTTTACTCACCTCAGCATGGGGAAAAGGAGGTTCTGGAAGATACACCTTTGTTTGTTTGTTATGACACAACCTTTAAAAGAAAAGGAAAGTATGCTGGGTTAGACAGCTGAGAACATCCTGCAGTATCTGCTGCCATCTACTGTTACAACTTTTTCTGGAGGAAGTGATTTTGTATCTGTGGTCTCAGGTGCAAAATCACCAATCTGTTTCGTTGTTTCCAGTCCTCCTGTTTAGAGGACACGACATCTCAGTCACAGTGAGATCACTCACAGAAGGTGCAAGACAGCTGAAAGTCATTTTGCATGTACTATGTAACAGAGCTCCTTTCTTGTCTTGCTGAAGACAGATTTGTAACTCAACATGCATGTCATTTCATAGTCCAGACCTCACCAGTTTTTGCAAAGCCAAATCATCTGTCAATATAAAAATTCCACTTGCCTCATCCCACTTCTCAGCAGTGACTCAGCCTTTCTGTTCATTACAATCGAATTCCCCTATGCATTTTATTATTGCAGCTACAAGTTGGTAAACTGCTGCTCACCATGGCATAATGCTCAGTGCTATTTTTCATAAATCATTTATTAATAAAACATAAATATTGCAAGTTGTTGATCAGCTCTAGCCAGAATCCTGATTCATCCTACTACATAAGTTTAAAAAAAGATATTTGTCAGAGGCCTGTGTGACATTACAACTATCTGTAGTGACACTATACTGTGTACTGTATACAGTACTGCTTTTTCTGGGAAACACTACCCATCTCATACTTTCTTCACTTTATTATGAAGAAAAAAGCCTGGGAAAAACTAAATTTAATAGTCTAAGATACTAAGAGCAGGACATTTCTTCTAGTTGACTACATAGTAGAATTGGAAGGCTGAAATCCCTCAGCTTCAATTGCAACTTTGACCCCAAACCTCTTATTTTACAGATGTTCAACCTCTGCCTTCATTTCCATGTAAATAAAACATTCACTTTACACCTAAGTATTTGCAGATAAGCTAATGTTGGTTTTGATTTTTGATTATAAGCCACTACAGCAAAACAGAATCCAAAAAAATGCCTGAATACTGGGTGTCTGGATTCTGCCAGCTTAGACACAAAAGACAAACTGACCCAATAAAAAATTCCTGCTACTTTCACAGTATTATTGTACCAAGATCAACACAGCTACCACTTCAGCTGCTACTGAAATGAAATCACCATGCAAGTACAAACAAAACAATTGTCTAACTATAAACTATACGAGCCAACACACTGGTGAATGCACTGAAGTTTGGCCAGGACACCAAGGCTTGATTTTCCTACTTTTACTGCAAGAAATGTGATTAAAATTCACCAGATTTCAATACTCTTTACAATTCTCCTGAGGATCAATTAAGCTAACTTTATTTACTAATCTAGAGCATGTCTATTTGTAAGAATTTAGGAACAGTTACAAGCAGTTGGGTTCTCCTTTCCATGGCTCAGAATCACAGAATGGTTGAGGTTGGAAGAGACCTCTTGAGATCATCTAGTCCAATCCCCCACCCCAGCTTTGTCAACTAGAGCAGGTTGTTCAGGACTGCACTCACTTGAGTTTTGGTGTCTCCAGAGACAGTGACTCTACACAATAATCATAGAATCATAGAATCGTAAGGTTGGAAGGGACCTTAAAGATCATCAAGTTCCAACCCCATCATCAAGTTCCAACCCCAATTACTGGCACAGTCTGGTGTTTGACCACCCTCGCAATAAAAAAAATGTGTTTCTTTTGTTCAGATGGAATTTAATGTGTTTTGATTTGTGCCTCTTGTACTGTCAGAGGGGTCTACTGAGAAGCATCTGGCTCCTTCATCCTCATTTCTTCCCATCAGGTATTTCTACACATTGATAAGACCCCCCTGAGCCTTCTGTTCTCCAGGCTGAAAAGTCCCAGCTCTCTCAGCCTCTTCTCATCTCTGTGGCCCTGTTCTGGCCTCCCTCCAGTAAGCCCATACCGTCCTTGTACTGGGGAGCCCAGAAGGAGATACAGCAGTCTCCATGAAGCCCCACCAGTGCTGAGCAGAGAAGAATCCCCTTCCCTGACCTGCTGGCATTGCTCTGCCTAATGCAGCCCAGGATACTGTTGGCCTTTTTTTGCCACAAAAATACATTGCTGGCTCAGCAAAATTAAGCCTGAAAAATCTATTTTGCTTACACAGAGAGACCACGGCATAGTTTTGGGGGCATTGCATAAGATATGCAAAGGTGCAGAGCTAAAAATCACTCAAGTTGGGTACAGCATTTAATTATCAGTACAAGTAAAAAAAAAGACAGATTATTTCAGTTTGTATGTTCTATAGGAAACGATGCTTCCCTAATTATAGAACATCTACTTACACATGCACACACACCCTTGTGACTCAAGAAACGTGTTCACAATTCTAATCAAGTATATATTAGAATATGCCAAGTAGAGATACCCTGCATATATTTATCTGCCATAGCTAAGTGTGTGAACTGAAGGCTCACGAAGCAGACTGTAAACACCTACCATTCAGCAAAGATCTGGGAGAACTCGAGAGAGCTGTTGGCAACAGGTGAGATGAAATAAAAAGGGACGTTGGAGAGTCCAGCAGAGTCAATGTACTGATACAGGCACTCCAGCAGATCATATATTACTCCAGAGGGGTAACAGGGAACCAGCACATTTCCTCCATTCCGGACAGTCATAGCTAAGAGAAATTAAAAATCAATTAACTGGGTTCACCTTTAAACTTTCTAACAGAATTCCTTTAATCCAAATACTACATAAGGCATGGAAAGAAACTATTGCATGAATTAGCAGAATACATTACGCCTATGAATTGGGAGGAACACTTCTGATCATTACATACACTTATTTGCTGCCTTCTCCAGGCTTTGTGGAGTGAACGATCAAACCCCGTTAGCTGGGGGGCACACAACAGACTCAGCAGATGCAGAGCTCTTGACACGAGAGGGCGGTCTTGCACTGGCACATGACGATAAATGAGTGACACAAAACACCTTGCCATCAAAATAAACCCTGCTCCATCTATTAACTGTCCACCAGAGGGGAAGGACAACAGTTCACAGGTCTGAGCTGGATGTACTACACATGGTAAACTCTTCCATACTCAGTTTTCAGGGTTTTAGATGTTTTTCCACTGAAGCTAGAAAGGGGGGGGGGGGAATTTCTCCTTAAAAACTCTAAATATTTCTGTCCTTTCAATACAGCAAAACAATTTTAAAACTCTATGATTTTTAGACAGCACTGGACTAGAGAAAAATGAGGAAAAGAAAAAAGAAAAATATGTTTACTCTGTAACTGAGACATATCTGAGCACAACAGCAAAAGCAAGTACACAGCAAACATTTTGTTCTTTTGGCAGAATGAATTACAAAAATGCTGTACCTTATGGGAAAGGAGAAATACTTTGTCCAGCCCACTGAGCAATTGCTGCCTCACCAAGATTTCATCTGTGATGGGGGGGGTAAAACCATCTACTGATGTTAATTGCAGTGCAGCAGCAGAAACATTATGCATCAAGGCATTACACAAAAAGCTGTGAAAGAGCCTGAAAACCCACATCACATCTCACCATAATCACTTCCTTGACTTGAATTTATTGACAAGTTTTGATGGGGTACGGGACTAGCACATTAAGGGTCTTTTTGCTCCACCTACATGCTCACGGAAGATTTTTATGGCTGAATGTTTAAAGGTTTTATAGAGTCTGGGGAAATGCACAGACTCTGTAGTAGGATTTTTCACATGCATTTAGGTGCTTAACTCCTTTTAGCAGTCAGTGCCTATTGCATGCTGCTCACAACAACAAATCATGGTCAGGCACCTTCTCTATCAGAGTTATATTATAACTGCAGTGTACTGGGTTTATTGCGTAGGTTTTCTCCAGGTTACATCCCAGCTATATCATTAAAATATTTGTGAACCTGAATAGCAATACTTTACATTTGTCTAAAACCTGAGATGTTACAAAACATCCTGGCAATGTGTTATATTATCCCTCTTACATGGGAAGGTATAAACTATCCCTTCTGTAAACAAGATGAAAAGAGAGGAATGAGGAGATTAACAATTACATTTTCAAAGCCATATAGGGGCTGAAAGTTAAGCCTTTGGCTCCAGGACCAGAATTTGCATTGCTTTGTTATGCACTCAAAAATTCTGCAAAGAGGAAAGATACGCACCTACATCCACAGCAACAAGGATGCTGCATGGGCCAGAGAGAGGAGCTACAGAGTACAGGGTGTGTTAGTGATCAGTGGGAAATGCTAAGGAAAGGGGTATGTCTGCAGGTCTGTCTCTGCTCTGAACAAAGATACTGGCTGAAATACCAAGGTGTGTGTCTCCATGAAATGGGTTCCTCCTTCATTCACCCAAACTCAAATTAGTTTTAGGCAGTTGAGACAAATGGCTTCATCCTCCCTTTGAGGGGGCAGGAGGAAAATCTAAAGATGAGCTGGTTAAAGAATTTGTCCGGGCTACTCCTAAACCTCAGAGTTTGAATTCACAGCTCACCTTTCCCCACAGTCGCCGGATCATTATGAGAACGTCAAGCCTCATCTGTTGAAAACAACCAAAGTTCAAGATTCCTAGGGCCACAGAGAAAATAATGGAGGGCAATGCCTTGGAGCAGACCTCAACTTGAGTTTCTGTTCACAGGAAAACTACAGAGCTGGTTACCAATAGTTAATACAAAATCACAATCCAGGGAGTGGAGCACTCTTCCAGTCAGTTGCCCTGCCTACTATGCCACTGAACCAGGGTTGCTGGCCCCTTGAATCACATGCTCCTGGCAGCATCGTGATGCCCCTTTGAAACTGGCCTGGTCAATACTTGTTTTGGCTGGGACAGAGTTAATTTTTTTTACAGAAGCTAGTATGGGGCTATGCTTTGGATTAGTGTTGAAAAGTGCTATTAACACTGGGATGTTTTAGTTAATGTGCAGCAGTGCTTACACTGGCCTACACAGAGTCAAGGCCTTTTCTGCTTCTCATCCCACCCCACCAGTGGGGATGTACAACAATTTGGGAGGGGAGACAGGCAGGATAGGTGGGATCAGCTGACCAAACGAATATACCACACCATATGACATCAAGCGCAGCATATAAAGCTGGGGGAAGAAGAAGGAAGGGCAGATATTCAGAATGATAGTGTTTGTCTTCCCAAGTCACCATTATATGGGATAGAGCCCTGCTTTCCTGGAGATGGCTGAACACATGCCTGCCAATGGGAAGTGGTGAATGAATTCCTTGCTTTGCTCTGCTTGTGCACATGGCTTTTGCTTTACCTATTAAACTGCCTTTATCTCAATCCGTGAATGTTTCCACTTCTACTCTTCAGATTCTCCCTCCACTCTGAAGGGAGTGAGGGAGTAGCTGCGTGTGGCTTAGTTGCTGCTGGGGTTAAAGCACGACAATGCTCTTAAGTGCTTCCATAAAGGGATAAGAATTATTTTTCACCTTCTCCAAAACAGGGATGAAAACCTTTACAAGCATATTGGTTTCTGTGCAAGCAGCAGGTCCAATCTGGCTCTCAGCACCACTACAGCAACTTTCTACAGTTGTCAGGAAGAGCACACGTGTATTTGAAAGCTGTTTAAAGCCAAATTTATCTCTGTGACTGATGGATGCACTCTCTTGATAAAAGTTGTATAATAATCTTGGCATTTCAAATTTAGTCTCCTTCAGTAGCTCTGTAACAAGTTGTGCAATTTACAACTCACAATGAGATACTTGCTTTTCAAACAGCTGCCACCACAAGGTCAAGTTGCCACCTAAAAAGCAAACTATGCTCTTTTCTGCTTTATATAAACACACACACACAGAGGCACGACTGCACACGCACACAAAATATCACAAACTGTCTCTACAGACAGTCTGGCAATTTTGCTGATGACGCCCAAGACAATGTAAAAATACAATTGCTTTTCTTGAGCTGCAGAGTGCTGGTGCTGCAGTGCTGTGCACTGAAAAAAGGGGTTTGGGCTAAAGTGAGACGAACTTGGAGACTTGACAAAGCACGGTTTCAGTGGTGCACACACAATGTGGAGCGGAAATCGTGCATGTGACTTGGTAATAATGGGAATCAGCATCTAAACCTCTATATGCTGGGATGAAAACAGAGATCAAGGTGAAACTTTCACACTTCCATTTCTGTGCTTCACAACACTTACTCACAAACATGCCATTACCTCATGATACACATTTTTGGTGTATTTCCAGTGTCTGCTTTAGAGTTTTTACCTAGTGTATTCTAAGCTTCTTGTGGAGTCCCCTGAACATTTTGGAAATGTGAAAAATGTAAGAAAACTACTGTGCTCAGGTTGCCTACTCTACTGCTTTTCCTAGTAACCTATTGCTTTTTGAACTTTTTTACACATTTGAAAGAAAACTGATACACTATTTTCTTCTCCTGATGTTGTGGTAGATGTGTATATAATGCTGGTACTGTGTGAAAGACAGCCTTACCACTACATTATTCATAGAATTACTTAATTTCTTCAGGTTGCTGAATACTTTTTGGCAAATAGCACTCAAATTCCAGATTCTTACAAGGACATAATTTTCAGCATATATCTTTTTTTGTTTTTCAATAATTTTCTAATTTCTCTGAGTGTCTCATTCAAGATAGAAGCTGGCTTGAAGACCTTCTGCAAAACCCTCAAAATAATTCAGAATATTTCTGTAAAGCAGAGCAACTTGTGCAGATAAACACCTACCTGTACCTATATATGTAACAAATTTATTTATATGAATTTATCTTCTGGATTTTGCTTTGGCTCAAGCTACATTTCTAAGACTTTTTTTTAAATTTTAAAAGCATTTTCATTAACAACAGTTTCAGTCTTGTTTACTTAGCATACAACTATTGCAGTTCAAGACACCAGTGACCCCAGAGATGCTTGCTAGAACACAACAGAGTTGGCAGCAGGGCAACGCGTACCACTCCTTGGTATCTCCAGTACAAATTCTAACATTTCAGCTCAGACATGCTTTCTTGCTGGTTTATCTGTCAGGGGGACAGTAACCCCCATAAAAGTCCAGAAGGCACAGAGAAGGGCAGCACATCTGAATCTTGCACAACAAGGTCACCAAAGCTTGTCTGCAACAGCTCATGGGGTAATAAAACAAAAACTGCTTAGAAACAATGAAAAAACAGACAGTAATAAACACAAACACACATAAACACGCACCGCTTAGGAAAGGAAGTCACACGTGTTAAGGACTAACACAGCTTCAAGGCAAGGTTAAACCAATTTATGGAAGAGACATCCAGTGAACATTACTAACTACACAACACCACAGTCATGTCTGACTCAGGAAATTCCTGAAATAAAAATAGTTGAAGGCTATGAGATTAGAAGGGGAAGGTATTCTATAGTCTCATCCTGTTCTTCTACTCTTCTTTAGACATCTGCTCAGGGCCTCTGCTGGAGCCAGGATGTTGGCAGAGAGGATCTTTGGTTTAACTCAAGATTACCCTTCTTACAAAATGCCAAAACACACCCTATTAATTTCCACCACAAGGAAGCATCCTGACCATGTAACTCATCTTTCATATAAACAACACACAAGCCCCACATAATTCTATCTCGTACATCTCACAACTGGTCCTATGACTCCTGTTTGAACTGAACTATGTCCTAAACAGAGATATCTGATTTTGATGTAGAGATGGTGAGTGATGGAAGAATCTACCACACTGCTCGTACTACTTGCCTTCCACTACCACAGCAGTCTCATAGTGGGACTGTGAGACAGTACACAGATATTTAGCATTTGTGAATATGCTCAAGGGTTTTAAAATGGGAAAAAACCCAAGAGTATATTCACATGTAAAAAGTAAGACTAAAAATTGTTTGCATGTCAGTTCTGTTCTCAGCCTTATTCTGGCAACCTTGGGTAAGCTACCTAAATACCACAGCTCTAATTTCTCCCAGGTGTGTGATGGGGACCAGAACACTTGCTTACAATGAACAGTCCTTGATTTAGACTTCTAACGTCTTTTGAAAACCTTTGTAACAACCCTCCCATCACAAGCTTTTTAGTCTCATTTGTTAAAAGTAGTTAGATAAAAATAAAGGTTTTCTCTGACAAAAGAACAGGTAATATACAGCAGGACAGACATGAGAAAGCGGTTTGCTGACAGAGGGGTAAGAACACAGAGGAACTGAGGTGGGGGAAGGGGAGAAAAGGAGAGAACAGGACTGGATGTTACACTCCAAACAGGCTGGAAAATGCTGCCATTCACAGTGATACCACAGCTTTGCAATTATCAGCTTTTCCAGCTGTGAAAGCATCTGATTAGGTTTTATATTTCTGGGGTCTATAAATATATCTTGGTTTATTTTTTTTTAACAGAGATTGTACTGTTTGCTTTTGATATATTTAAAAATCAGGTGTAAGAAGGGAAGCAGATGTGCTTGTTTTCAAAACTGAAAGTCATTAAAAAGCATGTAAAGACTTCACACTGGCTGATATACAGGAAGGAAATAGTAATATTTCAGCTGGGAACAATATCCAAAAGCTAGGCAACACGTAGTCTGTTGGCAGCTAAGCAATGTACTTAGCAAACGAAGAACAGCAGATGATTAAATCTCACCAGTCTGCTAAGTACATTGCTTAGCTGCCAACAAACGAAGAACAGCAGATGATTAAATCTCACTATACCTGTTCCATTCCAAAACATTTTAGGTACGACTTGTGTCTCTCCAAGCACTTAGTGTATTAATGACATCAGGAGCACCGTAAAATCTAAACAGCTAGTTTTATGCCAGAAGCTATAGCTGGACAACTTACTCAATTCCAGGAATCTTAGAATTATTTCCCACCCAAAGCAATGAAAAGGATGGTAAAATAGTCATATTTCAATGACCTACCCAGGTTGCTGCAGAACTCTCCTACCATGCCATCTGGGTTAGCAGTAGGGATTTGTGTAAGACCCGTCAGGATGAGAACATCGCTATTTTTAAGTGAAGCCTGGTCCATGGGCTGCAACAGAGCACAGTGAAACAAAATTAGTAACATGAGAGTTATAAGTTTATCTCTGCTCTATACCAAATGGACTGCAATACACAGTAGATATAGTGACTAAGAAGGAGAACAGGTGGAACACTTTAAACTTTACATACCTCCATCTCTGGAAATGCAACTGCAGTTAATAAAAACACATACAAGTGTTTATCTGCATACTACAGCTCAAAAACAAACAATGGAACTGTAATCAGATCCATCTCAAAGTAGTCTCCTAGACTAATCATTTCATGGCCTTAGGAGCTGAACACTGAAAAGACAGTAATTTGCCAAACATGTGGCAGTGCAGTCAGGAAGGGTTTTTAACACTTGCATTCCTAACTCTGGCTTCACTAATTTCCAGTTCACTGCCCTTTGCAAATCAAGGTGTCAGCTCTGATTTCCAGGGCTCATTGTCTACAGTGGCAAGCACCATTTTCCTTAATTTTCAGTGGGGTTTTTTTGGAAGAGGTACAAACAGCAAACGACTTGGGTTCAAAGCTCTCAATTTTGTGTATTAATCTGAATTCCACACGAGGCCCTCCCTTGACTGTGAAGTCAGCTTTTCTGGCCCCAGTATTACCATGACTTTCAAATACTCATTTCAAATTGTTTGCACAGGCCTTTTCAGAAGTCTGTCCTTATGAAATAGTAAACGGCTACTGGCTGTGTAAAAATCAGTTTAAATCCCTCAATATGTTTGTTTATCTAAGAAATATTAACATATGAAATTTTTATAGATGCAGCTATTATACCAGGCCAAATAAACAAGTATTTCCTTAAAAGCCAGAAGATGAAACAGGTTAAAAAATCATAGATTTTTGTGCAACTGCACAAAAAAACCCCAACACACATCAAAAAAGTAGTGCTCCCAATGTAACACCAGAGATAAAGTAATACAGAAAATATGACTTGACTTACCAAGTATCCCCTTGTGAATCAGATTAGCATGATGCCCTCGCTCCAGCATCTTTCTTTGAAGGCTCTGCTAGAGGCTAAGCTATGTCAAAGTGAAACAGATGCCTTCACAGAGCTATGAGCTCTGATCCACTGGGTCTAGAGTGTTTGCTCTACTGATGACCTACAGCCAGAGGTACAATTCTGGATTAAGCAGTTTAAGTGCTGAGGATAGCTATCATAAATACCTATCCATGCCATGTCTGCTTGCTGAGGGACACCGTGCATAAATGCTCACACCTTTTTCACTGAGGTCAATAACTTGAGATGTTTTATGCTGGCACTATTAAAGCAGAATGAAAATGCATGCCTGCTTCCCTCCATTACTGAACACAGAGATTCAGAAAATACACTTAAGTGTGAGCTGATACTAAATATATATTCTTGATACTCAAAATATAGCCTAATCCAATCTTGAAACGGCAGCATCCACTGCTCTCTCTGCAGATGCAGTACAGTTATGGTGAAAAGCTAACTTTTAGCCTCGCTCTGGGCTGGGCTGCACTTCCCACAAGTACTATTCAAGCAAAGGTGGACAACTGCAGTCAGCCATGTGGTATTTTCTGGTTCTCAATAGAGCCTCTTCACTCTCATCAACCAGGGAAAATTTCTACCAGAAGAGACTGATTAAGAGATTTCCTATACTGAACTTAGAAGGCCTCTGTATAGTTAATTTCCTTGTTCACAGTCCCTCAGTGCCATTCTTAAGTAGTTGAGAAAGACCTTGCTCTGTTACACATGCCAGTAATTTCATATCAGCTTCGACTGAAGTTTTGCTGTGTAACACCTTGTAGGACCAGACCTGTTATGTGAGATTCATTGCAATCTTTGACCTTCCATAGCATGTCTGCGAAAATGAGATGCCAATAATGCAATAAAAAATAATATTGAATCTGCCTGTGATAATATACATAATGATTATGCCATATTAGATACGCATAATTTCAGCTGGTATTGCGCTGAAAGGGCTTGCATTGATTTTTGTGGGTTAATGTAAAGAATACATCTTAAAAGGATTTTAGTGACATGTCTGAACCTGTGCTGTCAACTCCTGTTCTCTACTTCAGTGGGAACAGTGTCAGTGGAGGCTGAGGCAAAATTTTCAATAGAAACCATCTGCCAGAAGACAGAAGTAAAGGGAACAATTAATGGTGCCAGACCTAGCTCTCAAACAAACCCTTTAAAGCTGTTCAGTTATTTTCAGCAGCTATTAATACAGTCTTGCTGAACCCTTCACTTTCACTTCTTATATTCCTGCTGATAATTTCACAAGATATTCCGCCAGCATGCTCTGTACCAAGTTTCAGCTATCTGTACATCCTGGGCCATGCCAAAGCACAGAGAAGTTGCTCCAATTCACAGAATCACAAATTTTTTTGGAGTTGGAAAGGACCTTAAAGGTCATTGAGTTCCACCTCCCCTGCATGGGCAGGAACACCTTCCACTAGAACAGGCTAATCAGAGCCCCATCCAACCTGCCCTTGAACACCTCCAGGGATGGAGCCCCCACAACATCTCTGGGCAGTCTGTTCCAGTGTCTCACCACCCTTACACTAAAGAATTTCCACCTGATCTTTAACCTAAATCTCTCTTCTTTCAGCTTAAAACCATTACCCCTCGTCCTCTCACTGCAAGCCCTTCAGCCTGTCCCCGTAAGAGAGCTGCTCCAGCCTTTGGATCATTTTTGTGGCCTTTCTCTGGACACATTCCAACAGGTCCGCATCTTTATTGTCCTAGGGGCACCTGAGCTGGAAGCAGTATTCTAGGTGAGGTCTCACCAGGGCAGAGTAGAGGGGCAGAATCACCTCTCTCCAACTGCTGGGCACACTTCTTTGGATACAGCCCAGGATGGAGTTGGCCTTCTGGGCTGCAACTGCACATTGGTGGCTCATGTCCAGCTTTTGATCCACCAGTACCCCCAGGTCCTTTTCCACAGGGCTGCTCTCAAGTGTGACCTCATCCACCCTGTATTCATATCTTGGGTTATCTCAGCCTGGGTGCAGGACCCTGCACTTGGTCTTGTTGAACCTCATGAGGTTCAGCTGGGCCCACTTCTCTAGCTTGCCCAGGTCCCTCTGGATGGCATCCTGCCCCTCTGGCATATTGAGAGCACCACCCAGCTTGGTGCCACAAGCAAACTTGCTGAGGGTGCTCTCAATGCCACCATCAATATCCTTAATGAAGATATTAAACAACACTGGGCCCAGCACTGACCCCTGAGGGACATCACTTGTCACTATTTTCTATATGGACTTAGAGCCGCTGACCACTACCCTCTGGATGTGACCATCTAGCCAGTTCCTTATCCACGGAACAGTCCTCCCATCAAACGCATATCTCACCAATTTAGTGAGAAGGATGTATTGGGGAATGCGTCAAAGGCCTTGCAGAAGTCCAGATAGATGATATCCACTGCTTTTCCCTGGTCGACTGATGTAGTCACTTCATTGTAGAAAGCCACTAGGTTGGTCAGGCAGGATTTGCCCCTGGCAAAGCTGTGCTGGCTGTCATGGATCACCTCCTTGTCCTCTATGTGCCTTAGCATGTCTTCTAGGAGGATCTGTTCCATGATCTACCCAGGCACAGAGGTGAGGCTGATAGGTCGGTAATTCTCACGGTCCTCCCTTCTACCCGTTTAAAATATAGATGTAACATGTCTTTTCTTCCAATCACCAGGGACTTCACCTGGTAACTTTCTATTGGTTGTTAACAGAGATGGACTGATTGTTAGAGATGTACCATAGCTCTTCTGATTATAGATGTAATCTAGATGTAACTTAATAGTTCAAGAAAACTTTTAGCTGTAATTTCTAACAGAGAAGCAATCCTACTCTCTTCTGTGACTGCTAATTGCCACCCGTGCTGTTTCTTATCACACTAAAGAACACCTCAAGAGAGGCAGGTCAACTGATGCTCATTTCTAATAAGTACAGAGGGAGTTTCCGATGACTGGAAAAGTGCTAAGGTTTACGATTATCAGAAAAGCTTAGGCTATGTTTTTACATAAACAGATGCTGATTAACTGGATAATCTTTCTAAAAGAAAACACCATGACTGTTTTCACTCTGTTAAAAGATGGGAATTTCATTATGACTGCTCATCATGATTCTATGGAGAAACAGAAGGAGGTCAGAAGAACAACATTTCATCCCCTGATGAAAAAATGCTGATTTGTTGAATGCAATTTTGAGTCTGTGCCACTCAAGAAATTATCATTACATATTGTCTGTCAAACATCAAATAGATAAAGAGCTGGTTGGCAGCTCATAAAAACCACAGAATCACCATACGTAGGAGCTTGTACTGGTGTTCATAAGGATTAACACTAGGACAAAACTATCCATTGTCTTCAACAACCATCTTGAAACTCCCTTGTCTAACTGCCATCACTTCTCCTGCAGGATGTAGATCTGCTGCTTATGGGCTGTGCTCCTACCAGTCAGCTCATATACAGTTTTTCCTGCCATGGGGAGGCAATTTCCTTAAAAACAGATTTTACCAGAAACCTCCAAGTAAATGTTGATCTTTGGAAAATGATGAAGTCTAACACTGGAATAGCCTCCCAAGGGAAGTGGTAGATTCTCCCACATTGGACAGTTTTACGTCTCAGCTTGATAGGGTGCTGAGCCATTTCATAGAAACTATAGTAGGATAAGATGATCCTAAGGTCCCTTCCAACCTGGCATTCTATGGTTCTGAGATGATTCTATGCTTCTATCCTGATAAGCTTAATCACCATTTCATGTCAATGATAACACTCTCAGTTATCAAATCACTTCCCATAGTGCAAAGTTTCTCTCACAAAAATACTCTGTTCATTTATTGTCAAATACTACTACTGCTGCTTTCCTAGAAGGTAACAAGAGAACACAACCCAGGCCAGTATGAGGCTGATTAGAAGAAGGGATTTACAGATTCTGATACATTGCCATACTATTAAGGGTGGTTTATCTATTGTAGTTGTTCAGTTTCTGAAACCATGCTCAGAAGCAAAAGCTCTTTAGAAGATACTCACCTGGAGGAAAATTACTTACTGATGGTGAACCTGACACATTTTCTAAATTATTTTTAAATATCTTCTGCTAATATTGCTTTTAACTATTTTGACAACTTCTTAAGCACACAGTACTGCAAACTTCAAGCCATTCTTTGCACTAAGAATTTATGGATCTAGAGAGAATTAATTTACTGGAAATTACATCTACAGCCCTATAAAGACTTTGCCCTTAGCAGAGCAGGGTGAAAAAGTTGGCAGCCAGTTAGCTATCATTTCTCTCCAGGAAGGATGTTTCAGAAGTGATATAGAAGCAGTCTGTGAACTGTCTGTAAAGAATCTTTAGTGAAATATGGATTGAAAAAAAAAGTCACTAATGCTCTATTGTTTAACTCTGTTGAAAATTTCCCGTTTAACTTGAAGGAGAATTTCACAGATGGTATGTTTAGATCTAATCATCAGTAACAAAGAACTTTAGGTTTTTTTCCCTAGTAGCTATTGATACCTGCCCACTTATCAGGCAGTGTGTCTTCTCAATGTCCTTTAAGCCTAGCCACTTGCTAACAGGGGCACATTTGTACTGTTTCTACACTACACCTGCTCTCAGCTGGAATGAGCCTCACTATTTTTTTTGAGCAAAGACACTTCCCCCTATAGAAGACTAACAAGAGGCTGGGGCTGTTACCTGAGGGTGTGTTGTAAGCAGAGAAGATCCTGAAACATAGGAAACCTTTTCATAATGTGACTGGATAATCCAATTGGAACTTCCAAGAGCGTACCCTGAGCTGAGAGGGGTGACCTGCACAGCACCAAACAGTTCCTGAAACACATAGCAAGAAACACTAATTTGAGCAAGCCCCCAAAAGAAGTCAGAACAGGACATTTTATCATCAGTGAAATCAATTTAAAAAGTAGTTCTACTATTCAAAGCCTTTATGAAGCTCACTTCCTGAGCCTTACATTTGCTGTTTTTATTTACCCATTTTTATTAACAGAAGATACATTAAGAAAACTTTTTCCTGAGGCAGAGCCTTCATGAAGTCTCTCTTCCACATGAATTCTGCTTTGAGCATAAGCAACCTGACAGGTGTCTCCTTTCCAGGCGCCATTAGAAAGTGTATTGCTTTATCTGTAGGCAGCACTGTGTTATACTTGTTTTGAGAAAGGAAAATAAGCCTCCATGTATACCTCACTAATGTGATCTACTTTCTGGTTACTGAATAATAGAACAAGCATCTAATTCATGCAATACTAATGATTTTTCTAGTATCTCAATACATATTTTAATCCCTTGCAAAACAAGGCAAGGTCTTTATCCCTCACAGTGTATAAACCAAGGCTCTAGATTCTGCTGATATGCAGACATGTAAAACGGACAACAAACCATTCTTGATGCTGTCACCCAGTTTTGGGTTAACTGACTAATTAGTGTGATTATTTTAAAAGTTAGCTTTGGGAATAGATAAAATATGTATCTTTTCCTGGTACCTATAAAAGAATGATTGGCTCAGATGCACAGCTATAAAATTATGTGAGTTACATTCACACTGTGAGTACAGTAAAACAGTAAACACCTATGGATACTGAGCAGTCCAAACACCCTCAACTTGTCCAGTCACAGCTTCTGTCAGCAGCTGTGTTAGTACTGGTTTGGGGTATTTTTTCACCAGCTGAAATGCAGCATCACACAAACCCAAATCCACCTAATATAATACACAGCAGTACTGGTTAGTGTTCCAAACTGTCTTATACATAAACAACAGACTCCAAACTTCAGTGGCCCATTGCTTAAGAAAAGGGAGCAAATACAGACCTGTGGCCTCACAACTTACTTTAACTCACCTTTTTATTTCTTAAGACCCTGAGCAACAAGAGCAAGTATTATGGCCCACATGCTGCCTAGAAGCCATATGAGAACAGTGTATCTGCAGACTACTGAATTGATGGTTCAGTTCGTCCTAAAAACTACAGTGGATTATGGCATTGTAGACAAAAAATGTTAGCTGGGAATGCTGGGAAAGGAGATTTTGAAGTTCAGGTTGAAGCATTAGGTTTTGTTTACAATTCCTAATTTGCAGTATAAAAGAAAGTGGAGGCTAAAGCACTCAAAAGATTCCCAGAAGTGAGATATGGAAACTCAGCAGGGGATGTGGCTTACTGACCAAGAGGATACATTCATTTGGTGCATCCTCCCAGCTCTCAGTGGGCCATCATCAACTCCGAATTTGCAGGTACACTGCCTTAAAATTGTCCTCCCCAAGGAAGAGGAGAAACAAATGGATACTGCCTGATTTCACCAAACAAGAGCCCTTCCTGAAAGGCAGTGAGGGACATTCAATATAAACTTGTCTGGCTTTCCCAGGCTACGGTAACTAGATCCTACGCAGGATCTAGAGGGAAAACAGTAAAGGCAAAGCATTTCCAGAGAAAAGCTGGGAAATAACAAATTGTTACTGTTGACCTGAGGACAGCTTTACAGATACTCACAATTTTCTGAGAATACCCCACCAGCTGGATCTTACTGAGTGCAGCATTCACTTCTGGCATGGTGTAGCACTTCCTCCACATAGACACCTCCACTGCGTCCTTCAGAGGGGCGGGCAGCAATCTGCAAAGATCAACAGGGTGTGGGCTTTTTCAGAACTTCTTGATAAATTGCTAGCTTTTATTTCCATTTATATTCTCCACACCTTATAGATTTGTTTCTGTTTTATCTTTATTTTAGACATGCCCGATGCTTCAAAGTGAAGAGCAAGACTTCCTGCCTGTTAAGGAATCAAATAACACTGCCCATTTTGCCTCAGCCCAAAGACTGCTCTTTTTTATCTTTCTTTGTTGTTGTTCTTATTCAGCCCTTTTGTCAAAGACACAGCTGTGATGAAGGTGCTATTGCAACTCCTGTGGTACTTTCACCACAGATTAATGTTGCTGGTTGATCTGACATGTCAACATAAAATTCACCACTAGAATCGGTAGAGATGACTGTGACCGTGGATCAGGGTTTATTTTGCATATTCTAAAAATGTGCTAACAAAAGTAAGCCACAATCTTGTGATTAAAATATCAGAGCACCAACAATGGCTGGCTTTACTCTCATTTTTGTCACCAGTCTCTTACAAGTGCACATGCCCCTGCACCTCAGCTTCCTTGCCTTCAGCTCAAGATACTCCACTTGCCTTCTGAGTGTACTGGCAAGGATACACTAGCTGACACTGCAGAACTCTTCGAAATCTCCTACACGGAAGTATTTAAGATGTTTTACACCAAAGTAAAATCCATCCATTCTGTGCTTCACAGACATTGCAAGTTAGCTGGACAGCGTTGTCAAGGGAAGAAGTGAACTGTAATGTCACAGGCTGTAAGAGAGATGGCTAACTTCTGGGAAATAAATCTTCCTTAGCAACATGAACTGAGGCAGGAAGCAGCACAGTTGCCAAAAGCATAAGAAGAATAGGATTTTTTTGGTATATGAAACCAATGCTAAATCAAAGGATAATTCAAACCAATTTCCAAAGATTTATGGAAATTGGTCAAGTTTCTTTGATCAATTTGTTTAAAGGAATTTAATTTATTGTTATATCTACTAGGTCAGTGAACTCCTCCATAATTTAAGATACTGAAGAAAGGATTAAGGCCAGCTATTGCCAAGACTGCTGTATAGGTCTAGCACATAACTGTAATTCCAGCACATGCTGGCTGAAAGCACACTGCGCTTAAGGAAACAAACAAAGCGTTCAAGGTCTTTTTTGGGAAGTCATAAACAGCAAAAGGCCAAACAATGTGGATAGTTGTCCACCATTGCACTGAAGCAAATGGCCTGTAAAAGCCTTTAACCTACCATAAGCAGCATTTAGTGTTGGATGCTTTCAGAATCTTCTCTTCTGGGAAGAAGAGAATGTATCTCCAGGTAATGGAGAAAAGTGGGGAATTGTCCTTGGTGATTGAAGTAAGCTTCTATTAGCCTTGACTCTGTGGCTACACTGTAAATATACTCTGATTCCTAAAGAAGACAAGTGGCACCAGTCTCTAGTGGTTTCAGTCTTTGCTGAGTGGCACACAGACAATCAAGCTTGCTGATTCCTCAGATGCGTCCCTGCTGCATTCAACCTGTCACCCATGCTTTTAAAACTTCTACAGAAAGTTAATAGAGGGTATTTTAAAGTCTGGAATGAATCTACTAACACTGTGGCAACATCTGATTATGGATCATCTCTAACAACCAGATGTGAGCAGATGCCAAAACAGCCAACCTACAGCCACAAACAGGAAGGGATTGCAAAGCAAAATGGTTCAGTGGTTGGTATATAAAAATTTATGGTTAAGAAACTCAGAGGTTTGTATTTGTAGCTGGGCATCTGCACAGACACAGTCCCTCCTGTTCAATGCAAAGGAGAACATTTTGTATATGACATGTTCAGTTCCTACAAGAAAGCTGGAGAGGGGCTTTCTGCAAGGGCATGGAATGATAGGATGAGGGGCAATGTTTTCAAACTGAAAGAGGGGAGATTTAGGTAAGATTCTAGAAATAAATTATTTGCTGTGAGGGTGGTGAGACACTGGCCCAGGTTGCCCAGAGAAGCTGTGGCTGCCCCATCCCTGGAAGTGTTGAAGGCCAGGGCGGACGGGGCTTGGAGCAACCTGGTCTAGTGGGAGGGGTCCTTGCCCATGTCAGGGAGGTTGGAACTAGATGACCTCAAGTCCCTTCCAAACCAAACCAGTCTGTGATTCTTGTTTGAAGGGAGAGAAGGATGGCGGTATCAAATTAGATAAGAATACTGGCTTGTCCTGCCCACTACTCTTCTCAGAAAACAGCCTGTTTCTGACACTTTATAAAAAGATACAAGAAACTGTCAAACACGCTGTCGACAAGGTGCTTTCCACAAGGCAAACCTTCTCTTTAGCTCTCTGAATCCTAATGAACATGAAAGATATTTTGGTTGAGCATCTATAGAGTTGAGTTTCCATGAGACTGCTCATTTAAAACAAAAACCAATAGAAATTAAGCTTGCTAAGCAATTAGTTTGGACTGGACCTGATAATGGAAAAATGTAAGTGACTATAATTAACTTATTATATTTTATACAGCATTTGCATTTAAAATGCTTCAATGCTTTATCTAATGAGATGATAATACTTTGTGTTTTATACTAACTGTTTAGAGTAGAGGTAGCTGAACTGTAAAACAGTAATGGTGACTGATCAGCCTGAAAAATTAGACTCAGAAGTAATAAGTATTCAGTTCTAGCAACAGCTGAGTATTAAAAAAAAATAATCACCAAGGATCACATTTTCTTAAATAACGGATGTCAGTCTAACCCTGCATGTGCTATTAGCCAGGTGTTAATTTGTGGATCAGTAGATGTTTGCTCATACGCTATAATAATCAGTTCTATTCACGCTTGCATGACACTTGTCACCAGGAATCTCAAAACACTTTGCAAACATTAATTAAGCCTCTGTATACCATCTCTGGTGGATGGGAGCTCCATTTTACAGAAGCATAGGGAGTTGAAGAGGGAAACTCAGAACACAGGTGAGGCACAGTTGGAAAGGGAATTCAATTTGTCCCCCTGTTCCAGCCCACAGACAACACTGGTTCGTACCAGCTTCAAGGCAGAGTTTATGATACGTAGAATTTTTTTACTAAACAGCTGCAGGGCTACTAGTTCTGTCTGTCTATCCCCCAAGCAGAGCATTTATTTGCTCTGCCTCTATCTCATATGTGGGCAAGGTGTGGGTTTTATGACAGATGGGGGACTTGCCATCTGATCGAGTTTCCCAACAACTTACGATACTGTGCAAGTGCTCTGTGCTCCACAGAGGCCTGTTAATGAGACAGGACACTGTCTATCCCCAGGGGGTACACTCTTGTACCTTCTTCCTACTAGTACCCCATTGCAACGACTACTTGATGGTACCAAGGAGGAACTATCACTGTCAGGGTACTTCCCAAGCAATATGAAATAGAAAAATGTAATTTAAATACTGCTCCACCAAAAAGACTTCAGCCTTCTACAGCAGTTGGATCAGAACAAAGACTACCTCTCTGTATATGCCTCTGGAATAGACCACAGCACAAAGTGCTAGGCAGCACTTTTTTCTAAAATAAAACCATCGTGAAAGTGACATTAAACAAGCTCCAAGATATATGATCCTCCTTTAAACCATGCACACAAAACACATGCAGTAGTGTGATGAAAATAATGGCTCCAGTTCTCTCATTTCACATCACTGTGAGTTTCAGGAGTAGTTCTGGTCAGGACAGTGGACTCCAAAACCAAAAAACCCAGCACTCCTCTGATCAGAGTATACACCAACCAGGACAAAATCCAGATCAACTTTATTGCTTCAGTTTTGTTCTACATCTGTGTTTTACTTGCTTGCTTCAAAAGGCTGAGAGTTATAGTGCTGAGATAAGATTGCTCCTAAGCACAGCAGTGGAGCACAATAAATAGCTAAACATATGTTAATTTGGATTTTTAATTTCTTTGCCTTGTTATGCTGGAAAATGTCAAGACTACTTTTATAATGTATGAAATAATTCAATTTTAGTAAATTTTTAAATCAAGCCATGTCACGAATCAGCAATAGAAAACAGGAGATCAATTAAAAATGCACAAAGCAGCTTTTAAAAATAACTTTCTAATCAACCAGCCCTATCTTCAAAATGTGCTAAAAACAAAACTGTCTCCTCCACAGAACATGTTGTGCACCTAAAATTGGTTTTATTTCCAGGGAAAACATTATTTGCAATTACTAAACTGTATGGATAACTTTTAGATCACACAGGCTTTTAAAATTTTACAAGTAGAAGACCTCACTTCTAGTACCTTGTTTTTACATATACATTGAATAATGGACATGGAGTTTCCAACTAACCATTTTTTAAATTCAGATTTCAATTTGCTTTTAAGCTTTGAAAAGCCAAAAAGATTACCTCTACTGTTCAAGTGTAAAAAAGGCTGCAGCCCTGGGATGGAAGGTAGCACTGCTCTGTGCTTGGCCACCAGCAACCTCCAACAGTTTTGTCTAAACTTTCTTAGCATTTCAGCAAACATGAATGTAAATATAATTTTAAATTAAAATTATTCCAATACAATATAATTAAGTTAAAATATCTTGCCAATTTCAACAACTTTTTATGATATTAGTATAAAAATCTGCTGGTTTTATCTGTCATCATGGAGATTAACTATGTGAGGGGAGACTTTTGTGTTACCAAGTCTCCCTTCAAGAATCAAACTTGTGTGGTTGTTTGGAAGTCCAGCAATGTGCACATCATTAAAGAAATGAGTCATAGCTGTAAACCTTTTAAGCTTTTTTTTTCCCCTGCTTATCAAATCGATTTTCAAATGGTGGTAGCTGACCTACATCATTACAGTGAATTCTAAACTCTGGGTTGTGGTTTAGACAGTCACTCTTCCCAGGTGGCTTGTTCCTTACCTCTGTACTTCTTTGTTCTTCCACATGGAGGCAGACTGAGCCTTTGGCACACGTTCAATGGAATTCACCAGTTCTTCCATGAGAAGTCTGAAAACACATCATCACTGATCAGCATTGCAGCCTTTCACAAAGGAGAGAACTTTGTCCCAAACGTTTCCAAAATATCACACAAATGGTAACACTATTAGGCAGTTTAAAAGAGGGGTTCTTCCTACAGAGGCATTGCAGCAACTACCCCTCCCCAGTACTACCCCTGTTTCAAGCTCAAGTTAGTCCAATTCTGTCTGCCTGGCTGTACCAGTGGAGGATCTGACCCACTGGGTTATGGGTTATTTGGGAAGTTGCAGGACAAGATCTCTCTCCTTATGTGCAAGATGATTTCTTTGTTACTGACTGCTTGTCATATTGAATGAGGCAAAATATACAAAGAAAACTCATTAACTGATGACCGTTTATCACTTAGAGAAGCCAAGAGAAGAGTGAACTCTTCTCATCTACAATGCAAAATACACCATTTGAGACAGAAAAATGTCAGGCATTAAAAATTGTCACTGCAGATTTCACTGCCCTAAACTAAACAGCATTTGTAACTGTATGCATACTTCCCCTTGAAGGTAGGAAGTGACAGATTTAACTGCAGAAGAATGGTATCTGGAATTACTTGGGGCAGGAAGAAGCACATCAGTATACGGCTCCAACATGACTATGCCTGTAATCTTCAGCTATGGACCAGCAATACCAGAGGTCTACTACTAGTTCATATGCATACAATTCCTTTCTTCTACAAGGGCCTTCATTTCTGTTTGTTTTTACACAAAGGGAGAATTACTCTGGCATGGAAAGTTTGCATAGAACCTTTAATAGACAAAGATTCCTGCCCTAAAATGCTTACAGAGGAGTTCAGATACCACGGCCTAATCGGCTTTCTAATTATTGAACATGGCAACTGTTCTGCTTGAGAGATGTCCCCAGCACAAATCCAGTTAGACTGCATGGAGAGTCAAACCTGAAGCCTTTGGTATTGATCTATCCAATCAACAGACAACTCTGTAAGTAAATACTGCCAAATTTTATGACGAGGTGTATGTTTTTGTCAGGTCTTACATTTTTTACTTCAGTCTCGTATTTCTGCTGCTTTTCTTAGTGCTTCTCTTTGGATTTCAGAGTTTATGCATCTCAACTGCCATTTGAGATGAAGCCAGCTTAAGTTCTCTGCCATGGTGCACAGGAAAGAATTTCAAATTCTGAAAAACTACAAGGCAATAATCTCAAAGCCGTTTATTGTTGAAAAGATTGGTGATTCCTCTTTTGTTTAAGGGGAGCGGAGATTTATTTGATTCATGGCTTTTGAAGTTGGCTATATGGTAATTGCTGCTCAAGGTGTCTCAGTCTACTCAAGAGGTACTATCCCATATCTATAGCCTCAATTCAACACAAAGCACCTGCTGTAAATGTTGAAGAACGATGGTTCCAGAGGTTGGGAAACATTGAGTTAACACATTTGCAGCACTAAGGACTTGGCTGGCATTCAGCGACTGCCTAAGACTGCCTAAGAGCCTCTTCGGAACATTAGACACCACTCCTCTACCCATATTGTCCTTTAAACCTTTTGCTTAGCAGTGATGAAAGAGGAGTAGAGAATATTAAGGAGCTTATTTTTACCTGCCAATTTGAACAGTGGGCTCAGTGGCATACACTGTTCCAGTGAATCCTGTGTACTCTGTGATATAGGGCAATGCCATCATGCAGTGATAGTTTGAGATCAAGATTACATCTACTGTGGAGAGGTCAAGCAGCTCAGTCTGAAAACAGAGGAAAATGATAAGCAACATGTAACCCTTTCATGCAATTTAAGCAATGTCAGAAATACTTCTTCTTGTTTTGTTTTTAACTTTATATTGCAGCAATATAACCAGTTTATAAAAAAAACAGGGGGGAGGGGGCATGTCTCAGCTGTGACAAAGATCAGTGTTTCCTTGAAATCAACATTTATTTTAAAAGCTCCCCAGAACTATTCCCATCTCAAATCTGAAAAGGAAACTGTGTCCTGGGTTTGTCTGTCTTTCATATAATGAAATGGCTGCTGTTAAGAGAGGCATGATGATTACACTTTTATCAAAGAACCGATATATGCACTGCCTTAGGGAGGGACACTCTGCCCAGGCACCAAAACTTCTCCAGTAGCAATTTAGCAGGATGTTTCATATTTTTTATGTGTCACATGGTACACAGAAGTGAGAGATGAATGTAGATTGTATTTATTCATATGCTTAAAATAATTTTTGTATTTTCCCCAACTAAATGCTTGGCATCTTTATCATTTACATTCTCTACAGCAGGAGATTAAGCTCTTTCATAGGATACAAGACAACAGATGGGTGGGTCCAATTTGTTTTGATGTGACAGTTAAGACAGCATTTCAGAGAGTGAAAGAAGATTTCACACATTGTTGGAAGAATTTTAATTAGATATATTTACTGGTAATGCTATAACACAAATGGTGTCAAGTCAGAAACTTACAAGATATATGACCTCTAACTCAGTTATTATAGAGCAGCTAATGGAATTCAACACTCATCAAGCACGTATTATCTGATTACAAGGCTTGGTCCAGCAATTTGAATAAAAAAGGCAAGAAAGTAGGTCACTCGGCTTTTCAGAGGGCTGACACATTGCTCTGGTGACAAGCTGCTTAACTCACAACTAAGCATTCATGGTTTCAATCCATGATCACAGCTGATGTTGGAGGCATGATCTCCACGCTGAGTACAGTAAGTGTTTACCATCCTCAGATTCATGACAGGCACCCTTTTATCTTACTAAGCTTGCCAGGCAGAAATACACTCACTACACAGTATCCAAGAGTAGAATCACAGAATCAATAAAGTTGGAAGGGACCTTAAAGACCATCATGTTCCAAGCCCCCTGCCTTAAGCAGGGAATCCTACCCCTAGACCAGGTTGCACAAAACCTCGTCCAACCTGGCCTTAAAAACCTCCAGGGATGGGGCATCAACAACCTCCCTGGGCAACCCATTCCAGTTCCTCACCACCCTTA